TCAAAATATGGAAATTACAGGATCTTTGTTGCTACTTGGAATGTGGGGGGAAAGACACCAAATCAAGGCCTCAATCTTGAAGATTTCTTACTGGTGGAGGGCTCTGCAGATATATATGTCTTGGGGTATGTATCTTCCATAGATTGCACTTGATTATGATTTACTAGTAGTTGATTCACAATGTGGTGTATTTTGTGATTGAACTATAAAGTGCAATGTTGGCCGACGTACTTGTACATACATACAGGTTTCAGGAAATTGTTCCTCTGAGCGCAGGCAATGTGTTGGTAATTGAAGATAATGAACCAGCAGCGAAGTGGCTGAGTCTGATAAATCAATCACTAAATAAACCCAAAATGTCTTCTCGGACAGTTCTTCTGATTCTGGAAATGCTTCCAAAACCTCAACACAGAACAACTCGAAGGACGCAAAGCCCCCAGGCAGTCTGAATTTCTTTCAGAAGTCTTCCCTGAAAGAACTGAGCAGAAACTACAGAGCAGATAGCAGCCTGCTCAAGACTTGCAACTGTTCTTTGGATTCACCTTCCAGAGAAAGACGAAGACTAAAAAGCGTAATGACCTGTTGAGTAAAGTAGAACCTCCAATGTATCGTGATCCTTCCATGGATCAATTCCTCTCAATTGCAGAAATACCACCGCCTCCAAAAGAAACAAAATACTGCCTCATATCAAGTAAACAGATGGTTGGGATCTTTCTTTCCATATGGACTAGAAAGGACTTGGTCCCTCACATCGCCCATCTCAGAGTAGATTCAGTGGGCAGAGGAATCATGGGTTGCCTCGGAAACAAGGTATGACACATTAATTATCATTTGGGACTGATCATTTTGGGAGCTAATCGCAGGTTACTTTTGCAGGGTTGTATATCAGTTAGCATGTCATTGCATCAAACAACTTTTTGTTTCGTTTGTAGTCATTTGGCTTCCGGGGAGAAAGAGGGTGACGAGCTGAGGAGGAATGCCGACGTGGCCGAGATCCTCAAAAGCACACAGTTCCCTAGGATTGGTAAGAATCCTTGTCGTCGAGCGCCAGAAAAGATAGTTGACCACGAGTGAGTTATGGGCCTCCCGTTATTCCGTCCCTCCCTAATTGTACGTCTGCTTCATCTTCCCTATTAATCATTACAGCTACTTCTCGCAGTCGAATAATATGGCTAGGAGATTTGAACTATCGGATCTCTTTGAGTTACGATGAAACAAGATTCTTGCTGGAAGATAATGACTGGGACGCTTTGTTAGAGAAAGATCAGGTCTGTCTATATCCATCCAAAACTATTAATTAATGCATAAATAAACTGATGATATATGTAAACAGCTGAACACGGAGAGAGCGCAGGAAGAGTGTTTAATGGATTCGACGAGGGACGGATCATGTTTGCTCCCACTACAAGTATTCACAGAATTCAGACTCATACGCTGGAGAAACTGTAAAGTCTAAGAAAAAAAGACGAACACCCGCCTGGTACTATGATCATTCTGCTCAGTCTCTTATTGATACAAATTGATGCAAGCGTTATTAATGTTCAATATGATTACGATGGTGGATCAGGTGTGATAGGATACTATGGCGTGGGAAGGGGATTGAACAACTATCTTACATAAGAGGGGAATCCAGATTTTCTGATCACAGGCCTGTGTGTGCGGTATTTGCTGTAGATGTGGAAGCAAGAAGCAGAAACAACGTGATGAACAGGTTCAGGAAGGGCTATTCCTATGCCTTCCCAAGACTAGAATACGACGACACCTGTGTAATTCCTCAGAGGCATAGTTTCTATGATTAGTTTCTTCTTCACCTCACTGGCTTGTCGTTCTTGTTAATTTTTTCCATTCCTCCCCAAAAGATCATACAAAATTTTATAAAGCCCATGATGAGTAATGTTGTCAGTAGAGAGGATACATCAGTGAGTGCAAATTTCATGTCCCAAGGCATTCTTGTTGACTTGATGTACGTTACCCTTACACATAATGTAAATACTAACAATACTACCGTTCATTCATGTCACGGTTTGAAGGAAGTGATATTGTTTGGACCATTAATGGCGTACGTATTCTGTCAGAATAACTTTATATGTGTTTGGTACCTTAGGGAAGAAAGAGAGAAATGTGGATCTCACCTCATAGTGTAAATGCTGTTTCTCAGCACATCTTTACTTGTCTAGTTCTCCCTGCACGTTTAAGGGTGTGTTTGGGTGACACTCTAAATCATGGTTTGGGGAATAAATCACCTAAACACCCTCTCTAAAAATCAAAACCATGGTTTTGGAAAAAGCAAAAATTTTTTGCTTTTAGAGAAAAAAAGGAGAGTGTGAGAGCCTATATGATATGTATCTTGTTATTTTTTTTATAAACATATTTTTTTTAAATATATTTAATCTTATATTTTATAAATATATATACACATTAATTATTTATTAATTATATTATCTTATGTATTATTAATTATGTTGGTAAAAAACATATTATTAACAATTTTATTCCTTCAAATTAAAATATATCATAAAATCTATTTTTTCTGTAATTATCATATTAACTTATGTCTTTTTTTAAGTAATTTGTATATATAAAAAGTGCTTCTGATAACAACTATCCAAACACTCTTACTTCTCAGAGTCACTTTTTTACAAAATCTATTCTTCATAGAATCTATTTTCTCCAGAATCTATTCTCCAGAATCACTTTTCCAAACCACGGTTTGGTTTCATCCAAACACACCCTAAATGTATTTAAGAAGAATGCATTTTTAGGAGATCCCAAACCTAGTTCGAATCTCGTGGTCTTGTCCAGATTCGGTCACGCTTGGCCCATTCCTAGTACGAATTAAAGTAAGAGTCAAATTCTGGGTCGTCGTATTTGTTGTGTTTCTGTTTCCCTTGTCTCTTCTTCTGGCTTAGCTTGTCTTGAAATGAATAAATATAATGAAGAGAGAATTACGATTAGGTTCTAAGCTAAAAATAATTACAAAACAAGTTTTAAAGATTGTTATTATTCACTTTAGAACTTGTTATTACAAGCTGCTCAGGTTGATATTGAACTTTTTAGTAGTTATTTCTTTTATATAGGACTTGATTGTAATTCTCCCGGTAATAAAATAAGAGCGTAGGCTTGAAATGAAATGCAGGCTTCAAGCCTAGCTACCTGATAGTAAAGTTATTAGTCTCTGACCAAACAAACCTCAAAGCTCTCACATTTTTCTCTAATCTGAGAGTTCTACCATATCAGATGGCTTAAAGTTGAAGACAAATGTTTGAAGGAGCATACAATTAAGAAAGAAAATATAATGATAACTGGACATAGCTGAAGAGGCTTGCTCTTTTTATAAAGCAGTTTTAAATGATCTTGGGTGTATCATGGAGACAGAATGGAAATGAAAGCTCCTGCTGCAACTTTTTCATTTTAAATAATTTTTTACATCTTTCAATAAGATTTATTGCCTGGAAAATAAATATAATTTTTAAAACCGCTTTCATCATTCTCAAATCATACTGAGCTCATCCTTAAAACCAAAGCAACTTTTTCAATTATCAAAGCTAACCCACATTTGTTTTATTAAAAATACGATACTTAAAGCCAAGGCACATTTGTGCTAGTACAATTACGTGAATTTCAAGTGGAGTGCAAATTAAAAAAAAAAAACTTTTTCTATGACAAAAGTACATCACCGGATCTTATTTTCTAAGTGCATTTAATATCGTAATATTATTTTTTTATGCATTTAATATTTTAATATTATTTTTTTAATCACATCTAACATCAAAATAAAATTAGGATATGGGATGTACATGAGAAATCAAATTAAAATTAAGTTGCTTACCTTTGCTTCTTTTTTTAACAATATGATTTGTACTCAACTTTGCATTTTTGGGGCTGGATCAAGATGAAAAATCCTAGGATGAATTGAGGAAATCATTACGCTGCCCCAAGCGGATGAACACGAATCCGCCATTATGAAGTGGAGTGAGTGGCAGGTAAGATTGAGAAGCTTCTGCATATTCCTTGAGAACATTGGATTAGTGTTGGTCGTGATCTGTGATCCAAAGCCTGAAGACCCCACAAAACTCTAAAAAGAAAACATCAGATCAGTTCCTTTCTAACTCTACTAAGGGTAATTATGGGTCGAATTTCATACCAAACTTTATGTCGTCAGCGTTTGTTCTTCTAATTAATTAATATAGATATACATATATACACACACAGCTAAAGAAAAAGGAAAAGGAAATCTAAAGAGAACCATATAAAATTTGGTTATATTTGTCTGACTGTCTTCTTTTCCTTTATTGATTGGTGATTGATGATCAATCTTTCCGGTAAAAGGAGTGTGGATCAAGCATCCAGTTTGACTAATGGATCATGGGTTTGCTCCCCAGTGAGCACCCGAAAATTTGTAGTTATTCAAATATTAATAATGTTAATTATACAAATTTATGAAAAAATTATAACTTTTTTTAATATCTTCAATCCGACCACAAATCTACAACCAGGCATTTGGGGAGATTGTTTAGAAAATGACTCTTTTTTTCTCTCACTAAAATATAGGTATTTTCCTATTATAGACAATCCTATTTAAAACACTGTCAGATATTAAATATAGACACTTCCTCCAGTGAAAATTTAAACATTGATTCACTACGTTGTGAGGGAGTAACTTCTTCTATTAGATCTAACCCTGGTTAGCAAATGACTGTTTCATCATGGAACCCGTAAAAATAATAAGGTAATAAAGGGTCGCCATGAGCCCAATTCCCAGAAACAGAACCGGAATTAAAGGAGCCGTTAGTGATGTTTACTTTAATTTTCTCGACATGCGAGAAATCCTGAGGGTATTTCTGTCATCTTCGCACCTTTCCCAACAGTAACAACAATTCTTCTCTCATTTCATATTCATTGCTCTTATCTGATGCCGCCATTAAAGTTTTCTCCTCCTAGAAAATCTTGTAATCAATTCATCAATCTCCTGAGCATAGCACCGGTGGGATTTGTCATTTTGTGGACTGAACGCAACCTTCCTCTTTTCTTGCGACCCAATTAATAATTTTAATAATCCCGTTTAAAAGCTTTGTCTTGCTGGTAGCGTATGGTGTGAACTGGAATGAATTAAGGAGACTGCCTCACACGTAACCCGAGGCTCTCTCTGAACCCTCACTATCGCTAACTACTGTTTCAGATTCCTCTCTCTTTCTCTCTCCATCGAACATCTCTTTCCCATTCATATTTGTTTCTTTTGTTTCTGTGTTTTCTGGTTCTTTCCTGCATTTTATTTACTACTCCTCCATACGCTCCCTTCAAGCAGAAGTAGACTGAGACGCCTCAAGATTCAGTAATTCAGGTTTCCTCCAACTTCATTGGCCATTTATTGTCCTTGAAAACAACTATTCTCGTGCTTTCGGCTCGCCAGAGTGAAATATGAAGGAAAGAGCATAGCTGGGGCTCATTTCAACGAGTAACTGCCACCTAGGTCCTGTTCCTTTCCTTGCACATGTGCCTCGGGGGCCCGATCGTTTCTTGGTTTTCTTTTGTCTGAAACATCAGGGTTCGATTTTCAACATTGAGGAGGGCCTGTTCCTCCCGTGATTTACTGTGTTGGTTTATCTTCCTCTTCGTTCACTCTCTATTTTTAAGTATTCCAGAAAATGTCGGGGTGAAGCTTGCCTTGTTAAGTAAGGAATGGGGTTTAAAGTTGGAAACTTGAGCTGCTAGAGCTCTTGGTTGAAATGTCGGACGAGGTTTGAGCTTTCCCAACCTGTAATGTTGGATTATTTAGTTAATGGATGTGATATAGAAAAGTGCTGTTCAAGTGATTGAGATGAAAATGGGAGTTGCCAGCTCGAAAACGGAGAAAAATGAACCATTGCGTCTCTGCAGGGACCGGAAGCGATTCATCAAACTAGCAATGGATTCAAGATATGATCTCGTTGCTGCTCATGTATCTTACATTCAATCTCTCCGAAATGTCGGAATCGCTCTTCGCCGTTACGCTGAGGCCGAGGTATTGATCGAGTCTTCTCTCTCCATTTCCGACAAAACCCCATCTCAATCCACATACCCTTCTCCTTCACCATCTCACACTGTTGATGTTTCAGACTCACCCTTGCACAATGAGAGCCCTCTTACGCCATCCATGCCTCGTTTGAGTTATATGAGATCAGGGGGTCCCACGGCTGTGACTGTTAGAATCAATCCCTCTATAAACTCTTATTTAGACGACCAATCATCGGCATTCTCAATGCCGCCGCCGCCTCCTCCTCCTCCTGATTCAGAGCCATCTTGGGATTTCTTCGACCCCGCTGAGGATTCTGAGAGCTTTAGGTTTGTAGCGCATGCAACTGATTTCGGAGAGTGCGAGGCTGAAAAGGCTGATTCTACTATGGTAGCTACAATACGAAACAACTCTGGTGGACAATATGTTGAGTGTTCTGATCTTTCAGTTGCCTCAAGACGAGTTGAAGGGTGTCAGCAAAAGTTTCAAAAAGCAGGGAAAGAGGAAGAGTTAGCAGATAATGCTAATGGTTTTGCTGAGACAGTGACAGAAAAGGATGGTCTTCCAAAGAACGAGAAGGCCATTGATGGGAAAAGGAAAGCTGTGTTCGAAGAGAGAGAGGACCCATCAGAGTTCATTACTCACAGGGCTAGAGATTTCCTTTCAAGCATAAAGGATATAGAGCATAAGTTCATTAGAGCTTCTGAATCTGGTAGGGAGGTCTCGAGAATGTTAGAGGCAAACAAAATCAGGGTTCAATATTGTGAGGCAAGAGGTAATGGCTTCTATATCCTTAGCTATCGCTGTGTCTTGTACCCCATGGCACAGAACATACTATGTATTGTGCATGTTATTGAAACTAAGTACCGCTAATTAGAGGCTTCAAGATTTTTAATCACTAATCTAATAGAAGCTTTTCCTGATAGGCAAGTCTTCTGCCTTGGATTTGGTGTCAGCTCTTCACCTTTGCTGGCGTAGAGGGTCATCTCTTCATTCCCAGGGTAAGTCGTATTGTAACTGTAAATCTGTATAAAGATAATAGGTTGAGCTTGAAACTTTCCATCATTTTCATGGTTTGGGTTTGCCATTTTCCTTGGCCAAGTGAGCTAAATCAATAAGCTATGTATAGCACAGAGTAGTACCTGCAAGGTCTCTTGTATAGAGTACGACTTAGGTCCAATGATCTATTGTGGTAATAAATTTGTGTCAAATGAACTAAACAGATGGTTTGCTTGATTCGCTATACTTGAAGATCTTGTCTTTAGAAGGCATATATACAGATATCTGGATGGTTTTCTGCAGTAAAGGGGCATTTAAGTGGTTATTTCGAATATGATGACCATGAAGTTGGCAAATTATGGTTATGTGGTAACGTTGAGCAATATTGATGCAAAGGTTTTACCTGGTAATGATTTTTTCTCAAAATTTTTAAGTAACTATTACTTTCAGCTTGAACTTTGAGTTCCCTCTCTCTTTTGCCTATTGGTATACCTTTGATTCTCAGAAGATATATATGTTGGAAGGACTAAAATGCAAATCTTTATGCAGAACCTGCACAGAAAATAATTAGCTGGAAAAGGACAACATCTACGCGGTCGACATCATCCAGAAATGCATTGGCTGCAGCATCAAAGGAAGATATTGATGATAGTGGAAGTGACTTCATTGAAGAATTCTGTATGATTGCTGGAAGTCATTCCTCCACCCTTGACAGACTCTATGCATGGGAGAGAAAACTCTATGATGAAGTAAAGGTACCATGTTGAAGACACTAACGTATTTGAATTTCAGGCATGTTGCTTACTGCTATCACTTTGATCAGCCTGGCTTCACAAAATCAACATATCTTCAATTCTGAAATAGCTTATTTTACTTAAACTAGATGTGTTTCCCATGTCTAGTACACTTCATCTTTTATACACCAACAAGGGCCCCTCTAGCTGCCTCGAATAATTATGCATCTTTGTGCTTCTGATTTTGACAACATAGTGCTGGTTAAGGACATGACATTGAAGTTTGCCTTTTTCCCTTTTATACTTCGCACACTGACTTGGCTTTTCACCTCCGTAGGCGAGTGAGTTGCTTCAGAAAGTGTATGACCGTAAATGTGAGCAGCTAAGGCATCAATATGCGAAAGATCAAGGCGCTCATGTCATAGATAAAACCCGGACTGTTGTGAAGGACTTGCATTCGCGAATAAGAGTGGCCATCCGATCAGTAGATTCGATATCCAAGCGAATCGAGCGAATGAGGGATGAAGAGTTACATCCTCAACTCGTGGAGCTGATTCATGGGTAAGCGAGGCTTTCATTCTATTAGCATTGGCCATTTCACCTTGAAGCGTTATAAGTAATTGGCCAAAATGCGTCTGCAGGTTGATCAGGATGTGGAAGGCCATGCTAGAGTGCCATCATGCACAGTTCATCACAATCTCTCTGGCGTACCATTCGAGAAGCTCAAGTGGAACCTTGCAAGGAGATGCACGCAGAGAGATCTTGACTCATTTGCTTGAAGAAATCGAGTGCTTTGGGTTGAGCTTTGCTAATTGGATCAACAGCCACACATCCTACATCGAATCTCTCAATGCCTGGCTTCAAAACTGCATACTACAGCCTAGGTCCAAGAGCCGAAGGCCTTTCTCACCGCGTCGAGCTCTTGCTCCTCCCATATTTGTTCTTTGTCGTGATTGGTGTGCCGGGATCAGGTCTTTGCCATCTGAGGAACTTAGTGTCGCGATCAAAAGCTTCTTGTCCAATCTGCAGCAGCTGATAGAGCAGCAAGATGAACAGGTTGATAAGCAGATTTCTTTAGGTCAAGGAAGCTATGAGGAAACAGAGAGCAAAATGAAGGAGGCGGAGGATGATCATAATGATAAGGACACAGCAAATTTGTGCTGCATACACAAGAGCTTGAGCAAGGTTCTGGAGCGACTGACCAAATTTTCAGAGGCATCGTTGAAGATGTATGAGGATATAAGACAGAAGAATGAAGCAGCTCGAAATGCTTATCAGAGTATTTAATCAATGTTGTTGCTGAAAAGATTTGATCCTCTCGTGTAAGGTTGCTTCTCTCTGAGCTTTCTTCAGATTAATACATGGAGACTCTATTCAGGGGGAAAAAAAACAAAAAGGAAAAAAAGAAAAAGACAATCGTGTGAAGCTTTTGTATATGAAATCAAGAACTTATGTGGCCTAGAGAGAAGTTTAGATTCCAATGTGGGATTGGAGACGCATCTTATGCCTATCCATTTTTGTCGTATTGTTTCCCAGTAAATCCTTATCAAGTTTGCTATATTAAGTATTTTAAACTTTTTATGAAATTAATATAAGCATTGACAATGAGAAGAATGCAGGGAGAATTATTATGAAGTCCAGAGAAGATAATATAATTACAAAAAAGTCCCACTGATAATAGCCTCGGTTTGTAATAGTAAGTTTTAAGTTTTAGAGTAAAAAGTAATAATTATTTACTTGTCATTAGGATTTATTGATAATTGTTGTCTTTTTTTAGACTTCATTGTAATTATGTTATACTACTTTTAGTTTTAAATATAAGAGTTAATTGATTAATTTGAGTAGATTAAGAAAATAAGTTAAGTTCGTTATTTGTAATAAATAGATGTTTTTCTTAAAATGTCTTTACTAATCAAGTGTATTGGCTATAACTACTATTATTAGGAGAATTATCTTAAGAAAAAAATAGATAAATATAAGAAACAAAATGAATTGAGGTTTTATATTTATGATCAAAATAAAAACGAAGTCTTATATTAAGAATAGGAAATAATATCATTCAGAAGTGGGTCCAGATTCCGAATCAGCCCAGTAGGATATAGAATTATGACATATTTTCAGAAATGTGACTTGCACACACTTCAAACAAAAAAATGTTTGATGCAAAGATTCGAACAAAATGAAAAGTATATGTAACGAAATATTCTTGTTGACCTTTAAAAATGTTAGCAACAACAGGAAGATTGGTCTTGGTCCCAAAAAAAAAAAACAACAGGAAGATTCGGAATGCATCTCTCATTAGAAATTTAATTGCCAAATAATCCTTAGAATAACAGATTGTATAAAGAAAAATAAGTTGCACACAAATAAAGTTAAGTTGCACAACGGAAGGATGTTTTACACAAAATATTGTTTGGACATAAGAAACTAATTTGCACATATAGAAGATGACTTGTATGCAAGGGATGTTCAATTAAACAAAAAGTTGAGTTGCACATTGCACACAAAAAAAAAAAATGATTGCACACAAGAAACAAAAAACCAGACCAGATATTAAACTGATTGAGGTAGTGGTTCAAAGATCAATTGGTCAGATTTGGGTTAAATCAGGATCAAACCGGTCATATTAAAATAAAATAATGTAATTGAAAATAACAAAATATAACAATATTAATAATTACTAATAACAAAATATAAGAAAATATAACAATAGTTTTGATTATAATAATAACAAAGTACAATAACGTTGAGAATTTTAATTTTTACAATTCATGAATAACTAAAGTTAATAATTCTTGATACCAATATTATCATCAAAATTCATTTAAATCTATAGTAACTGAGATATTAGAAAATGAATGAGAAAAAAAATAAGATTAATAGTAACATAATCATTCAAACCGGTTCACACCAGTTTTTATCAGTTTTCACCTATTCAACTGGCTCAATACCAGTTCAACTCTTAATCAGTTTAATGTCTAAACCAATACCAGACCATCAGTCGGTTTTTCGGTGGAACCAGCTGGTTCAGCTCCCTAGAGTTGTCAAGCGGAACATGTTTTCAATGGGCCAAGAGAAAAGGAATCACACAAAACGGACCTGGACTAGGAACTACTTTTCTAAAAATATGATTAATTGTTTGATTTTGTGCTAGTCCCACATATTATTCTCACTTTGATTTTTGAATTAGTACCTTCAACATTTTAAAATATTTTATACTAACACTTAATATCCTAATCTAATTTTTTTTTTATGTATTTAGTACTCTAAAATTATTTTATAGTGACACTTATTATCTTACAATAATTTTTAGTACAATTTGTCTTTAAAATATTTTTCTCATAGCAACGAACACTGTAAACTTAGAATGCTGAAGGATACTGGAGAAGATATTTTGAGCTAATTAAGCCCTAGATTTTTCAATGCTAAGGATGCTAAAATCTAGATAAAGACAAGTGCAAAAACTATGGGAAGTGGGATTTGAGAGAATGATGATACTTGCGTTGAAACCGGAGGGTGATGTCCACGTGGGCTCTGATGTGTTGACACGTCACCCAACTATGTGCCCATGTAATTTCCTTGACCAATTCCTTGGTTGACAAATTTATGGTCTACCACTACTAACATACTTCATTTAATTAATGGCCCCAATTTGTTGGCATGCACAACTAAATACAACACAATAAGCAAATTAGTTGACTACCACATGGAGTTCTTAACAAATATTCCTTTAATCTTATTTATAAGTCATTTTTAATATTTTTAACAAATATAAAAAAATTTAAATTTTATTAAATCTTATTTAAAATTTATTGATTTTTCAATTTCATCTCTATTTAATATATACTATACCTTATGAGAGCAGAATCGATATAATAAGAAATGAAGGGTAAAATTATACATTCATATGAAAAATTTCTCTCTACCCTAAAACAAAAATTCCTTTTCTTTTTTTCTATCATATAAATAAGATCAGAAAAGTAAATAGTAAATATATCAATATGAGAGTTGGTGAAGGTGGTAGGTATTTCGACCTCTTAATTCAAGATATTGGGTTTGATTCTTAGACATGAAAAAGAAAAATCTCATTAGAAGATATCAATCGAGGGACTTCAGCCGAGTGGAGTGAGATTAGTTGGATTCATGATAATAATCAACTGTTTGCATGAACAAGCTAAAAAAATATTTCCCAACGAATGATGATCGCGAATGACTAAAAAAGTAGACAGGTACTTGTAATTTGTAGATCGGTTAATTTCCCCATTTGAAATTAGCAATAATTTGTAATTTGTAGTATTTTATGATTTAAAATTTTGAAATTTAAAAAGTATTGTTTTAGGATTTTCCTATCAAATATGTGTAAAGTAAGGATGGTACGAGAAAAGAAAGAGTGAGGACGTCAAAAGTGGAGAGTTTGACGAATCACAGAATCTAATGACGCCTCCCCTACAGAATTGCTTCAACCTACAAGTGATGTCCACGTAGGATCTGACGTGCTCACTCGTCACCAACTGCATTGTCAATTGTCAACGCGCTTTTGACTTGAGTTCACTCTCAATTTCACATCCTTTTCATTTCAGGCCCACACCTACCCAATCTAATGTGCGTGGAATATGATCTGTATCAAACTGCGGACGTAAAAGAGAATAATCAATGAGCAACATGGACATTTTCATTTAAAATAATCTGTATACAACTAAAATGGGAACTATTTCGGGTGGTCAAAGGTCGTTGATTAAAAAATTAATTATGCAAAAGGACTTTGAAATTTATTTAAATTTCTAGATGCAACTCTATTTGTTTCCTACGCATAAGCATCCTTTAATAAGAGACAATACTATTTAAAACGCTGTTAGGTACTAAATGTAAATACTCCTATTAATAGGAATTCAACCTTTAGTTTAAGAGACTAATTACTTCTGCTAAACTTAATCTCTATTGATAGATGCAACTCTATTTAATTATACACAACTTGAGTTGAGTCAATGATACAAGCTAGCCTACAGGCTGTGGGCCAGATTACTATATCTCGTGAGTTATAAAGGGCAGGCTGCTCTTTGTTAGGTTAGTAAAACGTCAACCCTAATCTACTTCACTACAATAGGTGGGCGGGTTAATTGCATCCATTAAAAAAAAGTTACATCTGCTTAAAAAATGGAGTGCTTAGATATCTTCACAGAATTAATTTTGTAACTAGAAAACCAAATTTCCCTAGTTTTTATTCCCTTTATAATGCGCATGACCTTTGGTGGGAAATGAGGGGTAAGAGAATAGGGTGAAGGACGCAATCTTTGCATTCTATTGGTTGTCCCTTGTGGGACCTATCTTCCACCTCTCACCGTTTACAGTAAAAAAAACAGTAATTAAGATTCCTCCTCATCGCCACGCCGCAATCCGCCACACCTCGCCTCTCATCCTTCACTCGCCACCTTCATTCATTTTATTCATCCTTTGTTTTATTTTTGTTTTGCTTCTTCACAATTATCTAAAATTCGGTAGGACACACCATTCAATACAAATTAAATCATCTTATTCTAGCACTACTGCAGAATCTTTGACGCAGATTTTTTTATAATATCTCCAGTAAAATCATATAACATAAAAATCCAGGCGTGTGAGTGTGTAAGTGTAACAGTAACAGTGATAAATCACTTAAAAATTAATAAGAATAAAGTGGTATTCGTTTTATAATTCTAGATATGCTATCACAAAATTAAAAAGAAAAATTCTTCGACACTTTCTAATGAAAATGATCCCCATCAGAGATACACGGTAATGCTTTTGGGGGTGAAAGTGCCATTAACCTTTTCTGGGTTGGCAACAGTGATGAAGAAGATAGAGTTGAAAGATGAAACGAAAGCCAAGAGATTAAAGATACTCAATGTTCTGAGAGAGTTATGGAGACCAAATCATGAGATTATAGAGATGCATGATAAATGTGTTATTTCAATTATGCTAGTACTAAACCTTGCAAGACCTTACCTAGTTTTTTTTTTATAATTAGAATACTCTTTTGATCTTATTTATTAGTCATTTTCAATATGTTTCATTGAAATTAAAAAAAAAAGTGTCTTTATTTACTCTATTTTAAAATTTTATAACTTTTTAATTTTATCTTTATTTGATATATACACTTTCTTAGGAGAAATAATAATTTACACAATAATAAATAAAAGATCAAATATTACATTTATACTCTCTCTGTCTTTTATTATAAGAAACAACTACTAAAATTAACCAATTTAAAATGTTACTTAAATTTAATTAAAAATAGTAAATGTGTAAGATATATATATATATGTACATATTTTCAATTACACACTTGTTTGTAAAGAGAATACATGAGAAATAATGAATAAAAATTTATTACAAAGAGATAATAAGCAACATATATTTAATAAAAATAAAAGTAGAATTTTAAACCAAAAAAATTACTGCCCCTGCCTTTAATGTAGGACTTAATTGTTAAATTGATTTTGGTTCTAAATAGAAGGCATATTTTTCATATTTATTAATTTTTTCTTAAATTATTTTTATTGATACTCCTTCAACCATAATCAAGTAGGAGAGAAATGGAGGATATTAA